GTCCACCCCAGGAACTCCTGAAGTTGTCGCACGCGAATTGAAGATAAAAAAGTACAGGGGGCACAGATCAAAGATGCATGCGGGAATGCGACTCTCAGCTGCGCGACAATAGCGACGGATCATAGATGCGGTTACCTGCGCAAGGGACGCTTGCTACAGGGAACGCAACGACGCATACTGCACTGGTTTTCATTATAAACTTCGCTGCAGAAAGCTATGCGCCAGACCCTAATCTCTTCTGGACCGAGATGGACGCAACCACCAGAACCAGAGACGATTACCACGGGGAACATCGCGGCGTAGCTTGCACCGATTTCCATCTTAAACTTCAATACGGGCGGCCATGTGTGATCCTTGTTTTTCTGAAGACGGCCGCGCAACTGCATGTTCCCAGCCGTCCCTGATTCACCAATTTCCCTGCTGATCGTTTCTGGATGGGCTGGTGGGGATACGCGAAGCGTCAAGAATTTACTGCTCCGCTCCGCCAACCCCAGCGGGCGCACGCGGCTGCGAACCCGTCGGTCTCGCGCATGTCAATTGCAGCGCCGTGGCGGGAGGCATGGACAGCAATCCTGGAAGCATCTGCCGCTAGCGTGCCGACGGCCACCACATCCTCGCGAAGGTTTGCGGGAAGCTTGGCGCGAAACCCAGGCGGGCGCACTTCCGCGCCCGCGTCGCGACAGCCCGCGAACAGCCACAAGGCCCACCTGCGCGCGCATAGCAGAGGGGCAGCGGTGCAGACACACTCGGCTTCAAGCGTGGACTGCGCACGAAGCTGGCCTGCGCGCCCGATAGGGCCAGAGCGCGCTGCGCCCCTTTCCACGATCAAACGACTCGAACACGGCTTCTGTTGCCCCGGGAGCCCTGACGGAGCCCTGAATGAGAAAGCGCCCGCCCACGCGTAGCCCGCGCCACGGCAGAATACCCCAGCGGTCGCTTCTGACGCGCAGCCTGCGCCTGCGGCGAGCGGAGCACCAGCTGTCGAAAGACGCCCTCTGGGCTGGCGAGCACGTCCGCGAGGCCCCCGACGGACGCGCGGAAGCGACGACTGGTCGACGAGCACCCACAGGGCGCGCAAGCAATGAATTGGACGCGTCATTTTTGCCCCACGCCGAAGAAGATGACCGCGCAGCGCGGCCCGCCAGCTCGGAGGCGGCGCCTGGCGAGCAGCTCGCCCGCGCATCGAGGAGCTCAGCCGAGCGCCCGTTCGCCCTGTCAGCTGGAACGCCCCACTGGACGAGCACGCCCCGCGGGTTGCCCCTTGGCGGCGCCAGGTGGAACCCGGCGCCCGGCAGCGCGCCGTCCGCGCAGGGGGGCGAAGGATTTGCCCTCGGGGCCCGGCAGCCCGGGGAACTCGGCGTCCGCGAGGCGCGCCAGCGCGGAGTGGACCGCGTCGTCGACCCGGCGGGGAGTGGACCACGTCGTCGACGTGGCCGCCACGCAAGACACCGAGAAGGCGCCTCGCTACAACGACCACGGCGCGGGGCCGCCAAGAGCACTGCCGCGGCAGCGCCCGCCCACTAAACGCCATGCATCTCGGCGCGACCGCCACGGTCTCTCCCACCCACGTCAATTACGAAGGAGACAAAATACCTGCGGCGCTCAGGTCGCAGGCCTGCCCGGTGAAAGATCCCCCGCCAATCCGCCCCGGCTAGAGCCGGGGGGCCACGCGGGCGCGCCGCGGCAGCTGCCCGGGCGAGCGCCTCGACGCCGCCCGCGCTCATCATGCGCATATGCTCGTCGAGGCGCGCAACGGACGCGGCGCCGCCGACGCGCGATTGCCGACGCCCTCTGATTTGGTTGCCTCGTGCCACCCCGAAGACAAGAGATCGACAAAATCCCAGAGGTTGGGTCGGCACTCGCCGATGATGTGGGGCGCGGAGCGGCCGCTGACGATTTTGAGGCACCTTCTCTCGACCTGCCCGCGCACGCCCCGCTGCAGCTCTGCCCGGTGCTCGCCGGCGAGGCGGGCGCGGCCTTCATCCCAGCAGCGCCGCGACGGCTCCAGAAACGACGCCAACGGAACCGGGCCCACCTCCGCGCGAGGCGCCCGCGCCCCGGGCGGCGGGGCGCCCCCGACAGCGCGGGGGCCGCGCTGCAGTTAAGATGAGAGCGCCGCGTCGTCGAGGCAAACAGCCCAGAGCAAGGCATCCAGCAAGGGGCACTGCACGCGCCCGCACGCGCGCCGCGCATTCTCCATCGCGGCGCCCGCCCACACCCGCTGCTCCACTGACTACAGGCTGCGACTCTCTGTTTCTGGAATGCCCGCATGTCAACCCCGAGCCACTGCGTCCCAGATCGATGGCTTCTGCAGGGCGAAGCAGGCCGACTGCGCGGGGCGACGGCTGCTTCGCGCAAGCCCGCGCGCGAGAGGGCCACCGGCGCCGCCGCCTCGCGGTCCGTTGGCGCAGCGCGCGGAGCGGCGGCAGCGCGCGCGGGCGTTCCCCCAACCACCGCGGGGCGGGCCCGGCCGCTAGCGGCGGGGTCCTGGCAGCTGGGCGCCCTTAGTACTCGCAGTTGGCGGCGCGAGCCCGCAGCTGCGGGAGAGGGGGCGCCTGCGCTCTGCCTGCCCGCCGTCGGCCCGGTTCTCTGCGCCGCGGCCGCGCGGCAACGGCGCCGTCGGCGCTCTCCTCCAGGGCGCGCTTGTCCCTGGTCTTGATCGGCTCCAGGCCGAGCGGTTTGATGCGGTTCGCCAGGCAACCTTCCTGCGTCTTGGCGCAAGACGGGCACTCCATGGTGGAAGACGCAAGTCTTGCCACGCTCGTGCACGTCGCACTTGCCAGAGACATGGAGGAAGCAGAATTGGACCGCGTCTGGCTTTGGCCTGGAGCTCACGCCAGAGGCGTTGAGCTTCGTGTCCTTCGCATGCTTCTCAACCTGTGTAGCAGGGTCTTCCCTGTCGCCGCACATGGTTTCGGCCGAAGCCTGCGGGTCCGTCCTCCGCATGGATGATGTTCGAGCGCGGTTCCGACAAGGCGGTCGCACGCCATGGTATGCTTCTCTGCATGCGCTAAGGGGCACTAGGTGTCCGCGGCAAGCGTTGCAACCTTAACCAGGCGGTTGAGCACTGAAGCGATGCTGACCGGGCCGCGCAGAAGACCTGCTCACCGAACTTGATGAAGCTGGACGCCCACTGAACGAACGAACGGCCCTCTACCCACGCCCGGTTGCCCCCCAGGCCCTCCAGTGCTGCTGCACGGGGGTGGCTTATTACACTTGGCCGCCGCATCGCAGAGCTTCATCTGTTTCGTGGTGGGGTACTTCCTAAGAGCTGGTTTCCCCGAGCCTGGCCTGCTAGATCAGCTTTCCGTGGTCGTCGGGTTGTTCCTGGTCCTGCTATAGGCAGGAGCGAACCGCTCGACAGCGCGAGCGCAGCCTGGAGCAGGCTGCAGCTGCTCTGGCGCGTTCCCAGGGGCCGTAGGTGCAGGACCCTGGGATAGCTCGGCTGACATGGCCGGTGCAGCAGGGGAAATCTAGACTTCCCCCAGGTTGTGAAGAAGCTTCTTCACCACCTTCGCCACTGCCACCGTGACGCGACGGCGCGGCCGCGTGCTCCCCGAAACCCGAAGTCGGCCTTCAGTGAGCCGACAACTTACCGACAATGTCGCCGAAGGAGTTGTACTCTGCCAACGTTCGCAACTCGCCGAAGGAAACCAGACGTTCCGCCAAGAACACGTATCTGACCTCATTGACCTCATGGGGGATCTCTCTGGGCCGCACATGGCCTCGACTATCTCCAGAATCAACTCGTTATCATCTGAGCCGCTGGGCAGCGGCTGCTGCCGGTCTGACGCCAGGAAGAAGCTCGCCTCGAAGGCGGCGCGATCCCCGTCCATGGCGATGCCGCGCAAAAACGGGGGAGGCGCACGATCGCGCCGCGCCTGAGCAGACAGCTTGACGGCGCGCGTGTGCTGAGTGGAGGAGGGAGCCACGTGGAGGGTCAGAGAGACACCAGCAGGAGGAGGAGGACGAGGAAGAGGGGGGAGGAAGAGGAGGAGGAGGAGGAGGAGGAGGAGGAGGAGGAGAGAAGAGGGGGGAGGAGAGAAGAAGAGGGAGGAGGAGGAAGAGGAGGAGGCGGAGGAGGAGGGATGAGAAACACGAGGAGGATGGAGCTGGAGGAGGGGGAGCAGGACGAGGGAAATGATGAGGATAGAGGAGCAGAAGGAGGTTCTCCCCTCCTTCACTGAATTGCAGCTTGCATCGTCCACTGTGTGCAGGTGGGCCTTTCTACTTTTGCAACTCTCTTTGACTTGCTTTCTCCGGATGGCTGCCCCTCCTTCATTGAAAAGCAGCCTGCACCGTCTTAGTATGCACCCAGCGGGCCCCTCTGCTGCTCTAGCTCTCCCTGGCCCTCCCTTTTCCAGACGGCTGCTGCTGCTGCTGCACGCTGCGCACACGCCTCTGTGATGCAAAAGCTGTGGCCACTGATCGTCTTAGTAGGAGCGAACGGACGTTGGAGGCGGCCAAGGGGTCTGAGCTGGATCACCCGAGATCGGTCAAAGAGGACTTCGCTCAAATCGGCTTCGAGGGGTCGAAACTGGCTAGTGTTTCGAGCGGCGTCCATTGTGACCACGAGGGTCCCTGTCTCCCCCCTGTTGCGCCTGCCAGACACAGTGCTGAGTGCTGGGCCACCCAATGCGGACAGACGGACGCACAGGAGGACAGAGCTCCCTCTCGTGGCCCCTGGGTACGTCAAGGCACAACACTGGGCTGCAAGCCCGAGCCAGCGCGGGACGTGGGGAGCTGCCCCCGACCCTCCCGGGGGGGGGGAGCCGCATGGAGGAGGAAGAGGCGGAGGAGGGGAGGGAGAGAACAAAGGCGGGCATACCCCTCCTCCCTTTTCCGTTCTCTTGTCCATATTCCCTCCTCCCCCCCCTCCTCCCCTCATCCTCCTTAACCATTGTCCATCCTTTCCTTTCCCCTCCTCCTCCTCGTCCCTCCCACCCTCCCCCTCCCCCAGGTTCCGGCACTCGGCGTCGCCCTGGCCGTTGTCCTCGTCGCGGATGTAGTGGAAACCCCAGCTGGAAGATCGTTTTTTTCCTGAGAGGGAAACGAGAACGGCGTGCTGCTTCAGAGGACGACATGTTTTCATGCGAAAACGCAAGTTGGCTTACCATTTTTTCTATACCGCCTGTACCCCTCGTGTGCCGTTTTACCTCTGTGTTTATCTGGTCGGCTCTGCCGTCCCTCAAAATTTCGGTTCGACCTGCTGAAAATCCGGCGATCTCTTGCAAGAACGAGCCTTGTGTTGTACACTTGCACAGCCAAAATGGGCGACATCTTACCCTGGACCTTTGCTAGTCGCAAGGGTGCGGCACTACGTGCTCGCCACTGGCGCTGGCTGGCACGCACCCATTCTAGCCGACGAGAGCCGTCCATTCTGGGCGGCGGAAACCGTATGGTTTTTCGAACCGCACGCGGTCGACTTCGAAGACGCTGGTGAAGTGACTGAATTGGGGACTCGAACCTCGGTCATCAGAATGGACAAAATTGAACCGCACTGCCGTCAAGACCAGCCCGAACCAGGGCATCAGCATGCTTCTCGCCTCGGGGATCGGAAAGGCAAGCAATACGACGTGGACAGCAGCGCAAGCGACGTTACGCATGCAGGTTATGAATGTCCGCAACAAGGACCGAACCCCCCAAAGAGGTAACGTGGACGAGACATCCAGGTCGAAGCGCAGTCGGCGGAGATCGAGTCTTGGCAACTTCGGAACGACTCACAGCGCACGAAGAGCCCGACGATGCAGGTGCCAGGGGCAGTACTCCTCCACAGGGTAAGATTTCGAAGAAAAGGCTGGACAAGTCGAAGCATGTCTGTGGCTGGTTCATCAAAGGAGTGTTCAACGTGATCAGCGCTATGCGCTTGAAGCGTTCAGGCGGGGCGGCCATCGCGATGAGCTTCCTGGGCTGGCGCACGCGGCGTTTCCTTCGCCTGGGTGTCATCCTCAAAGGCGTCTACAACCCGACCTCGACTGCTGGGGAGGCCGCAAGGGAGGCTCAGAGGTACTACAACGTGATGGAAGAAATGTACGAGAGCGACGAGGTGGAGACGCTCCTCACAATCGATGTTCCTTGGCTCCGTTGCCGCCACAGCCGGCACGGGCGCGCTCTCCGATGGCCAGATCGCGAAATCGCTGGGACAACCCCGTGGGCCAGGCCGTCGGGACAACCCCGCAAGCTGCTGGGGCACGGGAGCACGCCATTGGGACAACCCCGCAGGTCTGGAGCTGGTCGCGGCCGCATTCAGGCGGGAGGCAGCGCGAAGCCTAGCTCTGCCGCGAGCTGCTCCGCCTCACCCCTGGACACCCCCGCTCTATTGTCGAACTCCCTGGACGCCTGCCGAGAGGAAACCGGCGGCACGCGTTCAAGGAACTCTCGCGTGGGAGGCCGCAGGATCAGCATGCTCCGCATGCACTTCTTCGCCATTCATTCACAAACGCGGCTCTCGCTCTAGACTTCCCCCGTATTCAAGCTTCGAGAAGCCAGAAGTGACGACAATTACACGGGTTCCGATGGACCGCTCGGATTGGTAACATGAGCTGCGGGCCCCATGGGGGGGGGGCTCCCGCCTGAGACTTCCTCGCCGTCCAACCACAAACGAAGTTCCCGCTCGAGACTGCCGCCATATTCAGAACTGGGGAGCCCAAAGTGACGACAAACAAAGGGTTCCGATGACCCGCTCGGATTGGTAACATGAACTGCGAGTCTGGGAATTCACACACAGATGAGGCTCTCGCCTAAGACTTCCTAAGATGAGTGATGATGATGATGATGATGATGACGATGATGATGATGGTGATGATGATGATGACGATGATGATCATGATGACGATGATGGTGATGGTTGATGATGATGATGGTGATGGTTGATGATGATAGCGACGATGACAATGATGATGATGACGATGATGATGATGATGATGATAATGATGATAATGCTGCTGCTGATGATGGTGATGATGATTCCCCTTGTGCGAACCTCACTGACAAACGGGCCCATGCCTCGCCGGTGAGCAAGAACACAACTTTATATAAGATGGCGTACGGAAAATTCGGCATGTGTCTGCCGATTCGTCGAAAACTATAAACCTTTCGGGAACAGCTTCTCGGGCCGAGAGACTTCCTACGTAGTCTTCGCCTTGGGCGCCTCCACCTCCCTTCGCAACAGCACGTATACGGCCATGAGCGAACGCACAACGAAAGGCTGCACGCGAGTGAACAGTACGGCCATGACTTCGTAATAATGAACGACGAAGCTCTGCAGCTGCAAATACAGATAGTCGTATGCAGGAGCGCCACCGACGAGGAAGCGAAATTATCGGCATGGGGCGGCGTGTGGTGCTTGCGGTGGAATTCGTTGTGTGGGAAAAGCCCGTAGTCCTGACCCATCCTCATGACCTCTAGGATGGGGACCTCATGAGTTCGCGCGTGGCAGCACACGTGGTTGTAAGCCCCCAGGATACCACCGCAGGTCGTAGCGAAGCCGAAGAGGTTCACCTGAGGAGGCAAGGACTTGCCCTTCAAAAGCTTTGTGGCCACTGCCCAAAACAGAGGTAAACCCAGAGTCAAAGTGTTCAAAAGGTCGATGGCCGAAACGTGATTGCTAATCACAACCCCAAACGGGTTCCTGTGATGATTCTGGAAGTCGAGAGCCAAATCTTTCGGGAAACCAACCGAGCAGTCCCTGGTGCGTGGATGATCAAGGAACATGTGAAGTACAGCCATGTATACATCAGCCATTATGTAGCCTGCAGGAATGACCCATGCATGGCGGAACTTTCAATTGCGTAGCACGTAGAGAACCGTCACCGCAAGCAACGCCAGGACAAGCTTGTTAGGAAGCTGATCGTGAATATCAGTCACCCCTTCAGAAACTGCAGTCTTCATCGCGGCTGCTGGGACCGTCCAGTTGGCGAAGTCGGTGACACCATCGGATTGCATCGTGCTTTGAATCAGATCCGTCGACATGGTCGCTGCAAGAATCGAGGCGGGAAAGCAATTGAAACGATCTCAGCAACGTCAAAATCTATCCGACAACTTGAGACGAAACGGTTTGAGCCAAAATGGCTACGGATGATGATGATGATGATGATGATGATGATGATGATGATGATGATGATGATGATGATGATGATGATGATGATGATGGTGACAATGGCGACGACGATGATAATGATGATAATGATGATGATGATGATGATGATGATCATGATGATGATGATGCTGATGCTGGTAATGTTGCTGTTGTTGCTGATGACGGTAGTGATGATGATGAGATTATGCACGGGGTTGAGGAGGATGATAATGATGAGGAGGAGGATGGTGGTGATGCTGATGATGATGATGTTGCTGATGATGATGATGATGGTGATGATGACTGTAATGCTGCTGATGATGATATTGACGATGATGATGATGATGGTTGATGATGTTGATGATGGTGACGAGGATGATGGTGATAAAGATGATGATGATGATGATGATGATGATGATGATGGTGGTGGTGATGGTGATGGTAGTGGGGATTATAATGTCTATGTGATGGTGATGATGATGTATGATGATGATGATCGTGATGATGATGACTATGATGACTATGATGATGATGATGATGCTGATGATGATGATCATGATGATGATGATGATGATGATGACGAGGATGCTGATGATGATGATGTGATAGTGGTGATGATAATGACGAGGGGGTGATGATCATGTTGATTTTATGATCGTGATGATGGTCATTATGATGATAGTGGTGGTGATGATGGTGATCGTGGTAATGATGATGACGATGATAACGATGGTGATAGTGGTGATGAGGGGAATGAGGAAGAGGATGAGGATATTGTGTGGTGATGGTGATGGTGTGGAAATGAAGGCTAGAAGAAATCCTGCGAGGGGGGTGCGCAGAGTAAACAAAAGCCAACTGTGGATGTGGGGAACGCATGAAGTTTCGGAAATCCGCGCGAAGTTCTCGGGTCGGCGCTGCCGCATCCCCGCTGGCAGATGCGACGGCGGCGGCGGCAGCGACAGCCAAGCCGCCGCGCGGCCGTGCCCAGACTGGCCTCGGCGGCGGTGTAGCGGCTGCGGCGGCCATGTCAGCGCCGGCAGCGAGGCGCAGTGGCGGCGTCGGCGTCGGCGGCGGCAACCAGTCGCCGGGCCGCCACAGAGACGGGCGCGACCATACCATCACCGACAGCGGTGCAGCAGCGGGGTCGGCAACGAGGCTGACACTGGCGGTCAAGCGAAGGCTGCGGCAGCGGGCGCGGGCGCCGCGGGCACCCCAGGACGCCTCTCGTGGGGCAGCAGCGACATGAGCACGGCCGCCTGTGCCCCGGCGCCAAGGCGCGCTAAGGAGAAGGGGGGGGACGGGAAGTGAGGCGCGAGGCGTGGGCTCAACAAGCGCTGCGCCTGGCGGGCGGTCGAGGCAAGTTAGTGCGGGGGGCGGTGAAGAAGAAGGAGGAGCAAAAAAAGGGAAAAGCGAGGAAGGGAGGCAGGAAGAAGAAGGGAGATGGAGCGGGATAAAGAACAAGACAAATGGGGGAGGCCGTATATGGCTAAGAGAATGGTGAAAGCTCCGTCGCATCCAGCAACGATTGGAATAATCTGGTGGAGCGTAGGGAAGCCATAGATCCCGGTGGGTCTGCCAGAAGTTGGTCTCGCCGCTGCGCTCCGGACTGCACTAGATGACCGCCTGGCCCTCATCCGGGATGCCACGCAAGCCTGCGACAACATGTCTTTAGATATACATTTTTGGTTTGCGGGGCGACAGCGAACTTCTTCTGGTTAATAGCTAGGAGGGATACGCACAGCTCTGATTGGGGAGACAGAGCACAGGCGGGCGGGGCCTCAGGCGGCCGGAGGGCGGGCCGGGGTGCAGGCGGGGCCGAGGAGCTTGCACAGGAAAAGGAACGCCTTGGACAGGAGCCAGAGGCGAAGATCCGGAGGGTGAGTGGTGTGGCGTTGCCGTCAACGGCGCTTCGTAAACACCATCCTCGAGTGCTGCGTGAGGTTGCACGCGACAAGATCGACGTCCAGGGGGGGAAGTCCACCAGGAAGGCGATGAGCAACGCTGCGCCACCGGATGGTGGGGAGGGGCCCAAGAGAAGAGGAGGACCACGAAGGCGACGTGCACCGTTGTGCCACCGGGTGGTCGGAAGCGGCCTGGAGCGGTAGTCCAACCCGCGTCCAGGGAGCAGCCAGCAAGAGGTGCGGCCAGAGACAGGGCCGCCCGTGCCCGACTGGATGTCGGTGGAGTGCAGGGAGGGAGGCTGACCTGCACAGTCAGCGCGTGAAGACGGGCGGGCGCCACACACGACGCGCTGACGTCCGCGTGGCCGAGGGCCGGGCCTGAGCCGCGCAGCGCCACGGCGAGCGGGGCCGCCGAGGAGGCAAGATGCAGTGCCCAGCACCGGGCCGAAGCCGCGCTGCGCCGGGCGCTGCCGCCATGGGAGGCGGGAAGCGAGCGGGGGGGGGGGCGAAGCGAACAGGGAAGAGAGAGGCTGGCAACCCGCGCTAGCCGAAGTCGCGTCAGCCTGCACTGAGGGCCCTCACGTGGGGGGCAAGCCCCTATGGGCACAGGTAGGACACGAGGGGGCCAGGTCGGCGGTTGGTCAGCGCCGCGGGCGCTTTCCAGTCCAGGTGTCGCCGTGGCACCCGGAGCTGCGAGCCCGGTCCTCTTCGCGCCCGTCGCCCTGGTCCGCTGCTCGCGCCTCGCCGCAGGGGGGCACTTGGCGCCCCTTGCCCGCGCCTTCTCTGCGGCTCGGGAATCGCTGCTGCAACCGAACCCAGTTGACGCCGAGGTTCAGCGCGTCGCCCACGGCCCTCACGTCGGAGTTGTGGTTGCGGAAGGAGTGCAGGAAACTGACGCAGGTTTGCTGGTCGCGTCGTCGCGGGTCGAGCGCGCCCTTGCCGCGCTGCTTGGCGAACGCGTGCCAGGCGCCTGTGAACACCGCACCCAGCGTGTAAAACGACGCGAAGATCGGGACAAAATCGGATCGGGATAACTCGAAATCTCTGAGAATCGGCGGGTTTGGAGGATGTATTGGGCGCCGCGGCCGCTCCAGAGCGTTCCGGAACGCTCTGAGAGCGCTCCGGGCCGCTCTGGAGCAATTTAACCAGATCCTAGCCCTGTTTCAGGGTGCTTCATCGTCTCGCCAGGGGTCCCCCCGGGGAAACTCCACTGGATGCAACTGATCTTGGTCTTATACAACTGCTGTCCGGCGTCGGGGCCGAAGGGCTCGGGCCCGCGGCGCGCGGCGGGCCTCGCTTCCCGTGGCGGGGTAGTCGGCGGGGGGTCCTTGGAGAGGCGGCTGCTGCTGCTGCTGCTGCTTCTGCTTCTGCTGCCGCTGCTGCTGCGCCCGCCGCCTGTCGTTTGCCGCGCGCCTGGCCCGCCAGCGGCGTCGGCGTCGCCAGGGGCCGGGGTTCGACTCAGGGGCGGAAGGAGGACAGGGAAGCCGCCAGATGCCAGAGCAAGGCCGGGCCTCCACCCGTTGCCAAGCGAACGCTTTGGAGGACCCTTGCGGGCCTGGCCGTCGCCGTTCTTCGGTGCTCGAGCCCGCGCCGCCGCCAGGGAGGAAAGGGCCAGGGTGCTGAGAGCCGGCCATGGGAGAGTGCAATGAGGCGGTTGCCAGCTCGCGCCCCTGCTCTGATTCCTGCGCCGGCGCCGCTTCCGCGCCCTCCCCGCGGGCGGCAGCCGCGTCCTTATCGCAGGGCTCGTCAGGATCCTGCCCCCCATGCTGCTCTCGCTTGCTACTCTGCGACAGCCCCGCCTGGCTGGGCCCGCCGCCAGAGTCGCCCATGGCTTCGCGCGGCAGGGCGGCTGCTCGGCCAGGAACGCCCGGCGAGGCCATGCGCGTCGGGGCGGGCCCCGCGGTTGGCCTCCAGGCAGGGGCCAGATCGCCCCCGGCGACTGGGGCAGAGAGGGGCGCTGCCCTGCGGCGCGCGGGGGCAGGCCCCTCTCGATGGCGCTCGCCGACGGACCTGCGCCTGCACTCGCTCGCGGGCGCGCCCCCATCAACAACCGCGAAGCGATAGCCCGATGCGGGGGTGCCGCGGGTAGCTCCGGCCGCAGGCGCGCTGTCGGGCACCGGTCCTTTCGGGGCGTCCGTCGCCACCCCCGACGAGGCCCCGGCTTCGGAGAGGGGCTGCGGCTCGCTATCCGCTCGGGCAGCCGCGCTGCCAGGGGAGGGAGGGCGAATGGGCGCGAAAGGGTTCCTGTCGACAAGCTGGCGGATGGCCTCGTTGTCCTGCCTCTGCAAGGCTGGCCCGCAGTTCGCACCGGGCCCAGCTTCTCTAGAAGAGGTCTGCTGGCTCGGGCGCCGGGGCGCAGCGGCAGACGGCCGCGTACCTGCCTGCGTGGCCAGGGCGAAGCCCTGGCCAGGGCTGTCGCGGCAGCCCCCGACTTCGGCCACGGCCGCGGACACGGGGTCGCCGTGGGCATTCATTCCTACCTGCCTCGGGCCCCCCGTCGATCGGCAGTTCGAGGTCCCCTCGAGTGCCAGTCGCCTTCCTGTCCTCAGCGGCCGGCCCACTGAGGCCACTGCTGCGAGGCACTGCCGGGCTGGGTGGGCCGAGGGGGGGGCCGTCCACGTCCATTGGGGAGGAGTCATCCTGCCCTGAGGGTTTTGCTGGATCGCCGAGTGGGCGCGGTGCTTCTGCTGTGGCGTGATGGCTCAGGATCGCCGCGCCAGATGAACTGGGCGGCGGCTCTGCATTGTCCATCGGGACTGGGGGTCGTCGACGTCACCACGGCCCGGTCCAGGGTGCGGTCTCGTGGCGGGGTCGGAGTTCCCGTTGTGGGGATAAGCGTCACGTCTTCCTCCAGATGGTCGTCTGTCGTCGCCGCTGGGCGTCGAGGTGGTCCGCGCACAAGGCGGTCGTCGGGGAAGGGGTTGGGGCTCGAGACACCACGGTTTGCAGCGGCGGCAGGATCCTCCGGATGGTCGTCTGTCGCCCTGGTCACCACGGCAGGATCCGCTTCGAAATTCTGAATTCCTGGCCCCGTGACGGGAGAGGTACCGATGGGTACAGGTGGGAATCAAGGTCCCAGATCATGTAATCGCCCGGAGGGTCGTCTGTCGTCGTCAAGGGGCGTTGATTGAAGATTCGATAATATCGAAACCACGTTCCCTTCTGGCCTCGCGGGCCTCATTTCAACGGCGGCAGGATCCTCCAGATGGCCGTCTTTCGCCCTGGTCACCACGGCAGGATCCGCTTCGAAATTCTGAATTCCTGGCCCCGTGACGGGAGAGGTACCGATGGGCAAAGGTGGGACCGGATGGTCGTCTGTCGTCGTCACGGGGCGTTGATTGGAGATTCGATAGCATCGAAACCGCGCCCCCTTCTGGCCTGACCGGCCCCATGTCGACGAACACGCAGATGATCGCAACGATGGCCGAAGGAACGATGGCGATCTCAGCCGCCAGCTTCGACCGCTTGGCGGCGGCGTCGCTGGACGCCAGCACCTTCCAGCCGAAGTCGCCCGCCGCGGCGTCGGTGCCAGCAGACCGGTCCCGGAACAGCTCGCAGAACGCACAATAAGCCACGATTTGCCCCCAGCCCGTCGCGGGAATCCAGGAGGGGGCGCCGAGGCCGTTCAGGGCGCCCTCGACCGCGAGGCCCTTGGACGGCGACGGGAACCCTGGCAGCTTGCCAGTGATCTCAGGGGTGATGTGGCACACAATCGCAAACACGCTCACGCGACCGTGCGTCCGCTCCTGTCTGGCGTCGGCGGGCGAGGTTGCCCATGCTGTCATCCGCGAGAAACCCGGCGGGGCCCCAGAAGCCCGCGGGATCTTGCACGCCCGACTCGCTCTGGACCGCCTCCTCCGCCTCCTCGGCCTCGTCCTCGTCCACGCTCTCGCCCTCCACTGCCCCCTCCACCGCGTCCTCCACGTCCTCCATTACCTCGACTACATCGTCCTCCGCGTCCTCCACAACCTCGTACTCCACCACGTCCTTCGCGTCCTCCACGTCCTCGTCGTCCATGGCGTCGTCGTCGTTCCCCTCCTCGCCCCCCGTCGCCACGGCCCGCGCACCGGCGTCGGCGGCGCCTCCGGCAGCCGCAGGCGGCGCGGCGGGCCCGCCCGCCTCGCCGGCCGCCAGCTCGCCCGCCGCGGCGAAAACGGCGCAGGCGCACCACAGGCCTGCGGAAGCGGCCGCGCTGACAGCAGCAGCCGCCGCCGCCGCGCGGCAGGCCGCCGCCGCCGCGAGGCGGGCCGCAGCCGCCGCGAGGCAGGCCGCAGCCGCCTCGACCGCGTCAGCAACGCTGGCCGCGCTTGAAGGAGTGCCGACCGCGCCAGCGGCGCCGGGCTCGCCGCGCGCCC